ATTCTCAAGCTACATCTCAAGAATGTACAAGTTGCTGATGGTATGTTTGTTAAGAATGTATCTGGAAATGGAACAAACACATACACGAGGGTCATTGTGTTGTATTCTTGGGGAAGTTGAGACACTTCACTCTCACATTGCCTCTCTCCAATCAGATGTATAAATCAGTACCAGCAAATTTAATGCTGGGGGGGGGGGGTAACCCTGTGATGGACCAGCACCCCAGGGGAGGGGTAGAAATACTCGGGCTTAGTCGTTTCGTGCTACAGGAAGCAGGGTGAGCTCTGATTGCATGGGCCACTGTCCTGATGCAAACTTCACCTTTACCTATCCAATGGCTACATGCTTGGGTACTGTGCTGTTCACAGACTTGTGATGTGGTCTAGTTAGACATACATGTATCTGAGGTATCTAGAGTATACTCACTTTGTTGTCTCTCATTGTCTCAGATGTCAATGTAGAAGTGCTTGCTAGGGGGACTGTTGGTTTCTCAGGTATGTATACTCAAAGTCCTACTTGCATTAGTTTGCTTGCTTGCTTATTCACTCGCACTCTGTAGAAACACTCGTGAAAGTTGAGACCCTCCCAGGGGTTTGGGGATAATGTTGAGATTAATTTGAGGGAGCAAGGGATATCTCTGCTATTGAAGGGAACGTTAAACAAAATATTAAAAGAACAATGAAATTTATTAAGAGGGAACAAGGGAGAAAAAGTAAAATTTTCAAGTGGTTAAGAGAATATGCTACCCCCTGAGATGGCCCCAAACATTTGAAGAACTAGAGAAAGTGTGAAAACACCCGCCTGTGACTCGTCTTCCTGCAGTATGTTCCATATGCGTTTCTGTAGCTCGATGGGAACACAGAAAAATGTTTCCTGTTTGTGAAATACATTTATGTGAAAAGGAATTAAATCAATATTTTGAATACTAATTACTTCATTTAGGTGCTGATCTGGCCAACATGGTGAATGCTGCAGCGATTTATGCAGCAAGTGAAGGAGACACTAGTGTCACAACCAGACATCTTGAATTTGCGAAAGATAAAATTCTCATGGGTAAGTATTTTGTTGATGTTTCTTGTGGTTGGCCATATAAGGTCTTCCTTGTGTACTACGCAGTTCGGCAGTGAGGAATTCATTTCTTAACGTGCCATTACTTTTTTCGGCATTTTCGTACAACCAACATTTTGTTGATCAGCAAATTTACATGTAAATCAAAACTTCACCACTCTCCCGTGTGCTATCTCCATATAATTTATTAATATAACTACATGTAACAACTTGTCAGAATCCAGTTAAACCTGAATTGATGGTATTTTCGCAGCTGTGTAATATTAATACATGACTGGGTTGATCTCTTAATGGCATTAAATAATTTTACCCGCAGTTCAAAATATGGTGTTTCATACATCCACTTGCATAATTTGATTACGTGTCTATAAGGGATTGACCAAGGGATTCACTGATCTTCTTTCGAACTTCAATAGTTCGAGGCGAAGAAACAGAAAGTCAAACGCAGACGTTGTTACAGGAACTAGAAAAACTTTATTCTTGTACCTAACGATGATTGTTTATGAAATAAAGTCAAACTATAATGGTAGAAAAGTAAATACGTGACTAAAAATGCTTTCGTTTCTGAGCTGTACTCTTAATATCACTTACAACTCTGGTCGCTCTTGTTCTGTTATATGAGTTCTTTGAGATCTGGTTGTAGCTTAGTGACGTTTTACAGATTACAAGCTCAGTCACAGCATTTCCAGTTATTTTGTCCCCGTACAAAATCACCTTTAAATTGAAAGAAACCTAACAATAGTAGTGCGCTAAGAGAGAAAAACACAAAAGAGATAATAATAAACCATAAAGGAACAAGGATGGTTAAGGATGGAGAAGATTAACACGGATTGCAAACGACGAACTTGAAAAATTTAGGCTAAACTTTTTCGAGATGCGCAAACTGTGACGTAGCTCCTTAGAGGGCGAATTAAAAGGATGACGTATTTTCTAGGGGCTAGTCCTACTCTTCTTTGAATAAATCATTTGTGGGAAAATCAGATGTAATGTGTCGTTTACTTCTGCTAAATCTTATTTTGCTTGTGCTACAGGCCCTGAACGAAAGAGTGCAGTCATTGAAGCCAAGAACAGGGAGCTGGTGGCGTATCACGAGGGTGGGCATGCGCTGGTTGCCTTGTACACTCCTAACGCTTTGCCAATACACAAAGCAACCATTATACCGCGGGGCCAGGCTTTGGGAATGGTATGTATAGAGTTTTACTTATTGATTTGAGTAAAATTATAAGCGAGTGGTCATGATGGCCTAACCGTTAGCGTGGTCGATTAAGAGATCGAGCGGATCAGGGTTGGAGCCCGGTTTAAGACACTTGCAGAAGACACTCGCAAAAGAACACTTGGAAAAACCTGCGATTGACAAGTATCCCATCCAGCGCACTCTTTGAAAGAGTCTCTGTAAGTCTGCAGTCTTGTCTTCAATATGAACTGAGCTAGAGGTAGATATCGTTTTAGCAATTGCCGTACAGCTTCCTTCAAGAAAGGAGGAGTGGATAGTTCATTAAAAAAATAATAATGTTAATATTTCCTTTTTTTAAAGGTTTCCCAGTTACCAGAGAAAGACGAGTTGAACTGGTCTAAAGCTCAGCTCCTAGCCAGGCTTGATGTTAGCATGGGTGGTCGAGTGGCAGAAGAACTTATCTTTGGCAAAGAAAACGTAACAACAGGTAGGTTTTGGTATAGAGTCGTAAGATTTTAGTATGTTAAACTGTACGTTTTCCCGCGCTTTTCGTCAGCTGAGCGTCGGCTACATGTATTTTAGTTCAGTTTTGATTGGTTCATAGGAATATCTGTGTCCTTTGTGATTGGCTAGAGTGGTTTCTTTGGTTTTGGTTTCCTGACACTCAATAGAAACTGAAACTACTCTGTTTTTTTCCGGGTCAGAATAAAGCGCCCTTAATCACGAGGTGACTATTGTAAAAATATGTAATTAGTTTGGAGGAAACGAGTTTTGTTTCTTTGTGTGCTTGTTTTCGTTTGCCTGTGCTGTGTGTTTGTTCGATTGCTTCCTTTCCAGTTGTCCTCAAGGGCTCACTGGTGAAAGTTAAGGAGGAGTACATTTTGGTGTCTATCCTTCATTTCCTTGAGATTTCAGTTTTCATATCTTTATTTTACACTATATATTTAAATCCAGTATCATCCCATCTACTTCTCCTCCTCACCGTAAAACTCGTCCAAAAAGTTTTACAAGTTTAAGGTCCTTTCCGTGCCAACCTTGGACAGCATTTTAAGCAAGATTCTCCCGACCAAGCTTTAACTACGATTTTTTTTATTCGTCTTTTTATGTCTTTTTTTTTCTTTTTTACATCAGGGGCTGCAAGTGACATGGAAGCCTCAAATAAGATCGCACATGCTATGGTGTCCATGTATGGCATGAGTGACAAGGTACAATAATTCCATATTGTTCTCGACAGTCACAGGTGTTGTAAGTGTTTTAAGCCTAAATAGACAGTCTATNAAACTGAAACTGCTCTGTGTCTGCGTTTTTCCGGGTCAGAATAAAGCGTCCTTAATCACGAGGTGACTATTGTAAAAATATGTAATTAGTTTGCAGGAAACGAGTTTTGTTTTCTGTGTGTGCTTGTGTTCTTTTGCCTGTGCTGTGTGTTTGTTCGATTGCTTCCTTTCCAGTTGTCCTAAAGGGCTCACTAGTGAAAGTTAAAGAGGACTTCATTTTGGTGTCTATCCTTCATCACCTTGAAATTTCAATTTTCACATCTTTATTTTCCCTATTTATTTAAATCCAGTTATAATCCCATCTACTTCTCCTCCTCACCTTAAAACTCGTCCAAAAATTTAGTACAAGTTTAAGGTCCTTTCGGTGCCAAACTTTTGACAGCATTTTAAGCAAGATTCTCCGGACCAAGCTTTAACTACGATTTTTTTAATTCGTCATTTTATGTCTGTTTTTTCTTTTTTATATCAGGGGCTGCAAGTGATATGGAAGCCTCAAATAAGATCGCACATGCTATGGTGTCCATGTATGGCATGAGTGACAAGGTACAATAAATTCCATATTGTTCTCGACAGTCACAGGTGTTGTAAGTGTTTTAAGCCTAAATAGACAGTCTATAAAGTCGCAGCTTTATAGAAATCCGTGATTGGTTGTTATTTGCGCGCGAAACTTCAAAAACGACTGACGACCAATCAGAGACGCTACACGGATTTTTGATGAGCTACTTGTACTTAATCATTATGGAAATGTAACCACGCCTCCACACCATAAAAACGAGGTTTGGGTTGACCGCAGTGACGGCAGCGATAAGAAACTAATAATTTGCATTTGAAAAGTAACGAGGTTTGTATCATATAACAAAGTCAACTCTAGCCTCGCTTCTGTTCAAAGGCTTGGCAACTGAGCACGGGACTGTAACATGGGCTATTAGTCAGGTGGAATCTTTGACGTATCCAGAACTTGGAAAGAATGAAGCGGCGTGGTTGTGAGAAATTAATGTCATCAAGTATTGTTCTTCATGTGTGTGTGGGTCTTTATTTCTTGTCTTTACTCTCTTTTTTGTTTACCGACGACGTCTTAAAAGTAAACGATCTCATCAAACAAGCAGCTTTTTTTACAGTATTGATAGAAATGTATTAAAAATGCGAGCAAATCATTTCTATTTGGCCTTGGTGTAAAAGAATCTCGTCTGCTCTTAGATTGGAATGGTTCAAGTGAAGGACGTGGAGAAATCGAGTCCTGAGTTACAGGCATTGATTGAAAGTGAAGTCAAACAACTTCTCAAGGTGAGTTAAGACCCTGGCAAGCAGTCGCTAGTTATAAACGCTCGTATAGCGTTAGTCAGCCGAAAAGACCGGCAAGTTGACCAGAAAAGGTCAGAAGATCAAAAGAAGTTTCAATGCTCCCCGGGCACTGCAATTTAGTACAACAAGATTTGCATTACGGTTTGTGTAAAATGCAGACTGCGGACTACAGACTGCAAACTGACTGCAGACTGCAGACTACAGACTGCAGACTTTTCAAGGATATATCGAGTTGCCATTTCAATTATCAATACTGTAGCTGACAGTAAACAGGCTAACCTGGGCGTTATTTTGGCTTACGGGGGGGACGGGGGTGGGCAGGGGGGAGTCTGCCATCCGGTTCGATTGATTCAGGTTAGCCTGAATAACGCTGAATAACGGCTCAACCTCGTTTTGGGATTGGTTCAGAAAACTCATGCCGCTTTCTAAGCCAATCACGAGTATACAAAATGAACCTTGACTCGAGCACACAAGTTTTTCCGCGCTTTGCGGCGGCTGCAGA